AAATGTTGTCAATACAGAGGACACAAGTGATCGTCGGTCGCGTCGACTGCACCGAAGAGCGAGACCTCTGTTCCCGGGAATCAGTGATGGGTTTCCCGACACTTAAGTTGTATAAATCGCACGAAACCAATGGTATTGAATACGAAGGCGAGAGAAATCTCTTGAGTTTAGAGACATATTTGAGGACACAATTAGGCGATCGTATTGTCGATGGATTGACGGACACCGAGGAGACGGAGGACAGCCTCTCCAGCCAACCGGTGGCCGACACTCCCAAACCCATGAATGGCATGTATGAACTGACCGACGAGAATATCGATGAGTTTCTTAGCAAAGGTATTGAATTGTCAATGAGTTTCCACTGAATTGATCCCAAATGTAAATGATGTAAAGGTCGCCATTTTGTGAAGTTCTACGCGCCGTGGTGCGGACACTGTCAACGGTTGGCCCCGACGTGGCATCAATTGGCACAATCCTTTGAATTTGACACTTCCGTTAAGATATCGAAAGTCGACTGTACTATCAGTTCCATGTCCTGCAAGAACTACGAGATTAAAGGCTATCCAACACTCCTATGGATAGAGGACGGGAAGGTTACCGACAAATACTCAGGTATTTCTTTGTTTATAAACTCTATTTGAATTGAAATAAATCCCATATTTAATGGCATTGTATAGGAAGTCGTTCTCACGAAGACTTAAAACACTTCATCACTGAGAAGAAGACCGAAGACAACAGAGAGAAAGTGACGCTAAATCTGAGTTTAGATAACGAAGATTTCGGACCTCTGGTTATAAATGAGGATAATTTTGGCAAAATTATCAAAAAGGGCATCACTTTTATAAAATATTGGGTTCCCTGGTGTTCGCACTGTAAACAACTTAAGCCCATTTGGCACCACTTGTCCACTAAGTTCTTCGGCATTAAAGACGTTATAATAGCGAACGTAGACTGCGCTCAACACGAGAGCCTTTGCAATAAAGAGCAGGTCTGTTGTTGTCGTTGTTGGCAGTGATCATGAATTGCTCATTGAATTTGAATGTAATTATTGATATGAATTGTGTGGCGATGTTTAGGTGGACGGCTATCCGACGCTAATGTTATATAAAGACAATGAGAAAGTGGTTGAATACGACGGCAATAGACAACTCGAAGAGTTATACGATTTTGTTGTTCAACACTCAACAGTGCCTCAAAAGGATGAGCTATAATCAAGTGATCGCACACTTCAGTGTTTGTCGGAATTGTAAACCACTTAAAAGTCAATTGAATTATTAATTATTTCAAACATTTTAATGAATTAGTCATTATTTTAATTTTTACCCATAATTAAAGCTATATTTTAAAAGACTTCTCAATTTATTTATTTAATTATTATTTATTTATTGATTGATTTTAAATGAGACAAACATTTTATTATTTTTTTAATGAATACCAATAATTGATATACTGCTTCATTTATAACTTTTGTAAATAACTAGAAATAAAAATAGATTATTATTGTTATTAATTGTCTGAATTGGCATTTGGGTTGAACTTTATCGCAGAAAAATAAAAATTATTAGTTTTAAAAATGCATTCAAAATAACACCCACTTTGGAGGCAACAAATACTAACCATCAGAAAAGGTTTTGTTTTACATCTATTTAATCATAAACTAAATTCAAATCATTTTATATCTAAATTAATTAAATTTAAAAGAGTATTATCTCTCTCTCTCTCTCTCTCTCTCTCTCTCTCTCCCTCCTATTGTAGTGTTTCTTTGTGTATTAGGTCAGCGTCTCATATATAATATTATATACTAAATTAATTAAATTTAAAAGAGTATTATCTCTTCTCTCTCTCTCTCTCTCTCTCTCTCTCTCTCTCTCTCCCTCCTATTGTAGTGTTTCTTTGTGTATTAGGTCAGCGTCTCATATATAATATTATATAATAACTTATATTTCATTAACAAATAAATTTTATTTTAAGATAAAGAAAACAATTTATTTTTATTCTTGATTTTTGTTGTTTGAATTGAAAGCCATTTGACCTCATATTCAAACATATCGATCAACAGATGAGCAAAACCCATGAATATATAAATAAATAAGCAATTTCTGCTAAAATCAATTTTCATAACATGTAAATAACTTTAAAATATTCAATAATTTATGTGATTAAATGTCAAAGAAAACCATTAAATATATTTATAAACGAGAGAGAGAGAGAGAGAGAGAGAGAGA